GACATATAATTATCATCATATACCTTATTTAAAGTTTAGTATTACTGCAGAAAAGAAAAAGAGATTCATAATTTCTTGTGAAAGTAAACAGAGAGATATAGTCACGTAGATATTTCTACAATAATGGCAGACAATGAAAATCATCAGTTAAATAGTTTTCGTCAATGGATACATGAACAACAACCAATACTTAATTCACTTGATACAGATGAATTTTTATTACGTTTTTTACATGTTACAAATTTTCAATTGGATAATGCTAAAGAATGGTTAATACGTTTTTGGAAATATCGTACAGAAAATCCACAATGGTTTGTTTATAAATATAAATTTAAAAGAAAATAAAAAAGAGAATTCATTTTCTTTAGGTTTACGAATCGTGATCTTTTAAAAAATTCATTAATGCAAGAAATAGCTGAAATTGCTTATTATTTTCAATTACCAAAAGAAACAAAAGATAAACAACTTATTGTTATTATGCGTATGGGACATTATGATACAACTAAATATTCATTAGATGATGTAACTAAATATGCTTTTGCTATTACAGATATTCTTAATAGACAAGAAGCAGGTCGAACATATGGTTTTATTATTATATTAGATTTATCAGAAGTTAAATTACAACATATTAGTCAATTTACACCTGATCGTGTACATCGTTATATTGATTGTTGGGAAAAAATCTATCCAGTAAATTTAATTCAAATACATTTTTATAATTATCCACGTATATTTGATCCTATTTTATATTTATTTCGAATGTTTCTTTCTCGAAAATTAAATGAAAAAATATTTCTTCATTCAAAAACATCTGATGGAACAATAAATAAATCATTACATCAATATATTGATTCATCATTATTACCAAATGAATATGGTGGTCAATTAGGTTTAATTGATGATATTAATAAAACATTTATTCAATGGATTCGAGAACAAAATGATTATATGATTCAATTTGATCAATATGGTATTGATTTGAAACATGCATCGAAATTATTAAAAACAATTCAAAAAGAACATGATTAATAATAACATTTATTATTTTTCTTGTCATGCTTTATATATTGTATTTAGTCGTACTATATATATATATATATTATTCAAGTGTTTCTATGCTTTTTTTTGTTGATTGTATCTAAATAAATGATTACGCGTATACAACAATTAGAGAGTGTATCAATAATCATACTCTCCTATGATGTGCAGTCATTATTCTTTCTATTATCGGTTACATTCTAATTGCGCATACTTTTTTAGTTTTTGTTTAATTAAGAAAAAATGTCCGCAAAGTGGAATCAAGAGGAATGATAAAAATAGTTGCATTGTAGAATCGAGACAAGATTAATTATGTAAAAGAAACAAAAAAATCTTTAATAAAACATAACGGAATGTTTTATTTTTCTTAGATTTATAATCAAGATCATTCTTGTCAGTTGTATAAAATATCTTGATTATATCGATAACAAAAAAAAAGAACATAATCTCTTTCGATAATTATGAAAATTCAAAAGACCATCGAGCATTGCTAATTCTTCTAATTCGTGGATGTATCTTATTCAGACTTAAAGATTGATCATGATATTCTTCTACATTTTAATCGAATTCCAATGAGATGGAACAAATTTCAAAATGAGGAAAGAAATAAAGCATCTTCAATATGCGCATATACGAAGAATATAATTTTCTAATTTAAGAAAATTTAAAGTTTACATTACTAATTTCAAGAAAATACAGTATGATGTACCTCTCTTTTTGTTTTATTTGAAATGGATACAATCGAATTAATGAAATAATGTAATGTTGATTCTAGAACAAACGAGAGGTGACGATAAGGCGAATATTTTGAGAATAGTAGTAGCTAACGATCTGAACTTTTGAACTGTCAAGGTCCTCCTTAAAAAATCGATCTTGAACAAGTGCATTCCAATCGTATGCAATTTTTAGAATGTGTTGAAGCTGTAGTAGAGAGGCTATGCTAAAATTTTCAGCTCGAGCTTTCATTCTATAGATTTCATTTTTATTTGAAAAAATATGTTAGACGGCAGTGTTTGATAGAGTTCATATGTTTTTTTTATAAATTCTTTGTTTTTACGTGAAGGAAATGGGTGACAAGTTCAATACTTCGAAAATATGTTTTTTAGAATCCTTTGCAAAAATAAGTGATTTTTAAATGATTTCGTCATATATATTATCTAAGTAACAGATGTCTAGATGTCTCATCTTACGACTACTAAAAACAGTAGATCGCTCGAAATACTCATGTTACTATTGCCATCTCGTTTATTCTCATATTGACATTAGTTTACACCTACACCGAGAATAGCAGTAATGCTACTTCTCCAATTCATCATTATATTAAAATAAAGTAGACACTCATGTTAGCAAGTCATACTCGTTGCATTCAATATTTTTACTTGGAATAACATCATAAATAGTTTTTTTAGTATTTTTAGAATAAATGTAAATTACTTATTAACACTATTTTTACTTTTTTTAATGGAGAAGAAAATAGTTAATAATAACTTTTTTTGTGCATTAAAGTTTGCGTAGTGCATAGTAAATAAATACGTCATTCGAAAGAAATAAGAGCTAAACCCTTTATGTAGAACACATAATAGCAGTTTATATCATCTACTAAGTTGTTTACAAACATTCACTTAAATATATTATACATATGTCATTTTGATATATTTTGTTTTTGTGTACTTGAATGAAAAAAATCCGTTTTTAAACGTATTTATCGTTTTTTTTTTTCAGAACATGGTTTTCAATTAGAAAAATTGAAATTTAACGCACTTAGTTCAACATATAACGGATATTTTTCTGGTGTATGCTAAAGTTTAAATGGGAGTAAATTTTTGTCTGACCAGATTTTTTATATTTGCTATATGTGTTGAGAAAAGCGAGATGTAGTGTTGTGAAGTCACATTTTGTTTCTTATTTGAATACTATGTGTGTACTAAAATGAACATAGAAAATGAGCGGAAGCAGATTTCAGAATTTCATTCAGACAAAGACTATGCACAGGTATTAATGTTAATTTGAAACTATTTTTCGAGTTTTATATCTCTTTCATTGACGAAGTTATAGGAATGTTCTCAAAGGTTATAAGTGGGATATGAATAAGCTGAAAATTCGATCTAGTTTGACGTATTGTACTGAAATTTTTACGAAAAGTGTTTATCACTAAGACCACTCATTTCTGAAAATTTCAGACTTAATGATCCATTTCTAATTGGTAAATCTATTGTGTATATAGACAGAAGGAAGAGACTTAAATAACAATGATATAGAAGATTCATTCTTTGTATTTTTAAAAACAATAGAAAACATGAGAATTAAAGTTTAGAAATGATCTTATCAATAAGTCCGTGTTTAGTGAACTTGGTTCGAAAAATAAATAATTAATGCCAAACAGATAAAATATATTTCAAAATATGATTGAAAGGGATTGCGAACACTTGTATTTGTCACTGTTGCACTTGCGATTGTAACCAATGTCGTTAACATAACACTAGTCGTACCTGTAGTAGTGACATTTGTTGTTAACATAACACTAGTCGTACCTGTAGCAGTGACAGTTGTTGTTAACACTGTAGAAGCAGCAGTACTTGTAACTGTAGACGTATCTGTATTGGATGGTGTAGAAACACAACCATAATAACGTTGAATTTCAAGAATATCAATTGAACTTAATTGAACTCGTTGTCCAATGAATGCACTAGTATTTTGTGTTGGTATAATTGTTGGTAGACTACTATTAATAGCAAATGCAGTACGTTCGTAATGCATAACTGATCCATAATCATATGATGTCATTTGAGTATCAACTTGTGTGTCATTGTATTTATCGAAATTGAATGCATTAGCTATGATTGAGAGAAAAAAAAAGAAATCAAGTTTTTACTTAACATTGACCAAAAGTTCTGATTCCGATGTTAAAAATTTTATAAAATAGTCAATATTGAAAGTTTTATGGCATGATATCTCGTCTACAATAATGTATATAATAACTCTATCTTGGATTTAATTCTAACATTCTTTTAGATAAAATCTATAATAATTATGGCTGAGCAAAAGTTCTGATAACATCAAATAAAAATATAAAACGAAAGAGATATTTTTCGTTTTATTGTATAAAATGTACAAAATAGTTACCATTAGTATTTATATAAAGTTTCATGCTTTCCAACAGTTTGTCGAAAGTTTTTTTAAACTCTTTTTCTGGAATATTCTTCACTATCTTGGAAGCCTTCTCAACTAGTGATTCTTCGTTTACTTGATCAGTTAAATTGCTCTTGATATAATCATTTAATCAAAAATCATATGATGCAAGATTTGGTGAATACGGTAGATGTGGCATTATTTCAATACCTTCTTCTGTTACTTATGTACATTATGATAGATGAGGCATCCCATGTCGTCGATTTTTTATTAAAACTGACGGTTGGACTCGCTTTTCCTTCATTTATCCTTTTTTTTATTATTTTATTACTAAATTAATATTTTTAGTCTTGAAAAAGTCGATTCTAACTTACAAAAATCGACTTAATCATGCAGCAGTAAATTCTGTCCGACGGTGCTACATATTTTCCCACTGATCAAGTTGTCTAACGAATGACTATTTTTATGAAGCCATCTTTAATAAAAACTCAAGGTCGAAAACTATGCAAATGTGAGTGATGTGGCCGGTAAAGGCGGCTTCAGCGCATCGGCAATATAAAGAGGGCGTGATTTCAACCAAAATTTGTCAATTTTGTAAGAATAATAAAAATTGATCGATTGCGACACAAAAAAGAATCAGCTGGCGAACCGCGGTAAACCGTCGGTTTGCAAGTGGTTTGAATGACATCGAGTTCTACTATATATTCAAGCAATAAAATTTTCGATATTAACTATGTTATAAAATTTTAAACACTGTAATCAGAACTTTTGGTCAATCCTAAGTATTTTGAGAAACTTACCGGATAGAATATTACTCCATTGAATAGAAACATACGAATCTCGATCAGGTCGTGATTGTTCATGATAAAAACCTGTTTTTCGAATAATAACAAACAATAATGTATTATTATTTCATGTATATCATACCTAAGACATGTGTTAATTCGTGTTGAATAATTCCTGAAACCATACAAGTAGAATATGTTCCATGCATCAATGAAACAGGACGAGTACCAACATAACTACCCCAAGATCCAACCTAGTCAAACAAATAGTAATTTTTTATAAGATGTCTTTTTTCTATTTACTGGTGCATAACAACCAGATCCATTAAAAATTGTAATATAGTACAAATCGGATGCATTTCTTGGACGAAATGATATACATTGTGTATTATTGACTTTTGTAAGATTTTCCATTTGTCTCATCATATTAACAATAAAAATAGAGTTATTGGCAGCTAGAATATATATCAGTCTTTATTCATATAGAACAAAAAAACTATACAAACTAATATTTGAAGCCAATTCATAGGGTACTACACCACCTGTCCATCGATGATATGCTGCTGGTCTTATTGCTACTCCACGCTAAAATTTCAAAATATTAATATTCATTTCATTTTAGTTTAAAAAAATAATAACTTACACCCGTTGGTGATGTGACAAATCGTAGATGAACCATATCACCTCCGTCAAGTCCATCTAAAAACAAAAAGGAAAATATAATCAAGATAGATATATTTATGATGTATTTACGGACCATTTCGTTCAGGATTATAAGCAAATTCATTTTGCACAGGGTCAAAAGACTGAATGGATGACATTTAGAATTCAAAAATATATAATCTATGCATTGACTTACTTGTGATACAGGTGTACATTGAAAGTTTAGAACATAACCAAGAAGAATAAAGGCTAAATATGTGGGTAATTGCATTGAAAATGTTTATGACTATTGAGTTGTTGTAATGAAAGTTTCTTTAAACAAAAATAATAATAGAATTTTTTTGTTTCGTCTCTTTTAATTTATTATAATAATTTTATTAGATTTGAAATCACATTTATATATGTATTTTGTTTTGCATTCTTTCAATATTTTCTTTAGCCTCATGCAAGACATAGTCTCGTAATTCTCTTTATTTGAAAATAATATCGATTCTTCTTATGGATCAGAGAGAAAGTTCGATTATTCTTTTAACGAATATTTCTATTTGTATAAAAAAAAATTCTATTTGTTGAATATCTTTGACGGTCTTTATATACAACTAATTTAACTACTACTTACTTGATCATATTAACAAAAAAAGTTTTCAAAAACAACAAAACCATCACAGTGGATAAGAGAAATGTATATCTATCAATAATCAGTCACTCTTTGTAAAAGTAAACGTTCCTATTATTTCCAAAAACTTATTTTATTTAACGAAAATTATTCATTAATGTCATAATCAGCATTGTTTTTGTTTAACTGAAATATAATTTCAACGGTCATACTTGATATGAAAATGCTTAATCTCGTTGAAAAAGTATACGTAAAAATTCAGAATTCTATGTTTTTCATATAGTCATCTGTTTATATAAAAATAGAAAAATAAAAATAAGTACATAAAATAATTGAACGAAGAAAAATATTCGCTTCGATGAATTTAGTATGTATTTTTAAAACGTACTTTTTTTTAGCAAATACGCATTAGTCAATATTTTGAAGGTATTCAAATGAAATTTTTTTTAGTTAGAATTCATTAAAAACAAGACATTTCGGTGGTTTCTTTTTGTTTTTCTAATGTCGATTGCAATTTTTGATTTATTTGTATTGCAGATTAAATTAATATTCTTATGGCTTCTATGTATCTTCTCAAATCAAATAAAAGAACATTCGTTCTCTTCCCTACATTACTTATATAACTGTTGTTTTTGATAATAAACATTCTTACTTATATCATATATATAATAAATTTGAATTAATAGAAGATATCTATTCTACTAAAGAAATATAAAAGATTGATCTAGTGATTAATCATTGGAATATTTAATAATTCAGTGAAAAGATTAAATATAATCATGAAAAACAAACGGATTCAATATTTTGAAGTTTTTTCTTGTTTAAAAATCATGCATAAAATTTAGTAATGAGAAATTCTAAAGTTTTTGCACTTTTTTTTTCTCAAAAAAGTCACATCTTATTCACATCAGCAAAAAAGCAGAATGATTTTTATTGCCTTTGGACAAAAAAAAACAAATTTTGCTTGCCTGAATTCAATATATACCAGTTTTTCTTTTCGTTTTTGCTTACTATATTCTATTAGAATATTATTATTTTTATATAGACGTATTCAATCTTGGTCTTTACTATTTTCTATTCATCGATGATAAATTTAAAGCTTCAATAGAAGAAAAATCAGGAATATATTTAAGAGACTTAGCTTGAATAGGTTATTTATTTACTTACTTATTCATACATTTATTTTTTTCATGTTACTCAGTTATTGACATGTAAAATAAAAAGAAAAGTAAATTGTAACTTAATGTTGAGTTTTTAACGATAATTTTCATCTAATAAACGTAAGAAAACAAAAAACGTATATAATTCTACGAAAATAAAAGAGGATAAAGCAAATACGAATAAAAAAAAATGCGTAGTACAGAGTGCAAAAAAAACCCGACCCCTCGAGATTAAAATGTAACTAACTATTTATTTATAGTTACAAATAAACTAAATTATATATCACTAGTAACTGTAGCAGGGCTGCTAAATCTCCTGATTTAGCCAGGAGTCTCCTGGTTTTGAAATCTTCCTCCTAGTGAAAAAATCTCCTGGTATCAGGAGCTGGTTCTGAACATATTCTCCTGGTTTCTCCTGGTTTTAAGACTTTCTACCTTGAATTTTAGTGACATTTTCAATCGAAAAGATAAACATAAAAAAAAAGAAAAAGAGAATAATGATCATAGTATTAGATGGATTCAGACGCCAATCAGATAAAACGTTGTTTTTGCTTGATTTTTATAAAAATAAGAGAATAAATTTCGCAAACAAATTTTGTAGCAAGAACTTATGTACTTTTAACTAAGAAGAAAAAATCATTGTGTATTTTTTTTGGATGTTTTTGTCACCAGAATATGAGATCAGTTTGGTGTCAAATTCATTAGAGATTAATCTGTTGCTACGATCGTGCCTATTTTGAAGTGAACATTTTTCTGTTTTGTTTGTGTAGTTTAATGATGGATTGTGACATAAATAGTAATATAAAGTGCATGTAATAATCTTTCTTTTTTTTGTTATAAGCCACTTACAATGGAAGTGTTTGTGTTGTAAGTTAACCCTCGGATAGTATTCTCATTTTATCACACAAAAGGTATTTTGTGGATCCAGTGAAACCCACATGTAAATGACTTAGGAGAATTTTTTTTTTTCGTCTATTTTGTGCTAGATATGATGAATTAAAGCTTATGCCATGATTTTTATCGAAGCGCGGATACGTTAGTATGTTTATGATGTATGAGAATGATTACATTTTTAAAAGGTTTTTGAGAAGGAATTATGATAAAATTATGGCTTTAAAAAGTTATCGAATGAACAGTGAATGTTGCTACATGTATATAACCACTTATATTAAAAGTTCTATGTTTGAACAACTTTTGAAGTTTTTAGGCTAGTTGTTTTCAATGGAAAAAACTCGAGTATGATTGTTGTGACTATGGCCAAAGTCGATGACAGAAATATCTCGACCAAAATATAAGAAAATCCATCAGACAAAGATAAAAAACACACGATTCACTATTGGCGGTGTCGAGTTCACGAATTATAGGCAAATAAACTCTCAAGACAATAGAGAATGGATGTCATATGAATAAAATAACATCTGTATAACACCAAAGGTGTTAGAGGGTACTTGCAGATCCACATTTCACTTCCTTACTGGTAAGGTTTTTGTACGAAATTTGATATGGCACTTGTGCATTGTTAGGAGACTAACGATTATCGGAAAGATGGTTCCGAAAAGGATAGATCTTTAAGTAGAAAAAAACGAAATACAGTGATGTGGGACTCGTCGGACCTATAAAAAACCGTAGAAGAGTTAAAAATTATTCAATATGAAACGTGGCTCACCCCCTTCATAAAAAGAGTTCTTCGCAATAAAAAAGGCACTCAATGACAGTAACAATAAGACTTAGAGTGTTCTAGAACATTCGAAAGATTCCTTCGAAATTTAATTTGCCAAACTACGTTTGTGAATATTCTAAATAATGCGATTTTTGAGTTTTGCGCAGATAAAAATTTGTATTCAACAGATCGATGGCGATAAGTAGCGAGGCATTGAATTGCCACAGTTGCCATATGATCAGAATAAATAAGCGTTCACTGATCAACTTAGAACTTTGAAGAATAATCAATATTAATGTTCCTGAGCTTATAGAGATACATAATAGTGCGTTGAGACCTGTTATCATGAACAGCATATCAACACTACACAAAGGATAGCAATTGCTTCCCTGAGTTGATCATGCCTCCTGTTCATATTAGAGTAAGACTGCTTATCTCAACATATACTTATATTCAAATCGACTATGTAGTTCATGTAGGAGGATTGACCCATAGTCTCATGATTTTATTTATTGTTATCCTGATGAATACACTTCCCATTATGTATATACACGACATGATTATTTTTAACTCTCTTCTGACACAATAAGCAATCTCAAAAGTCTACTGTTGCATCACGGCCTATAGCATAATTGTAAATTGACTCTAATCTCTCTCAGACTGCTTATGTAATACTTAACGACTTTCATCAGAAGAATTGAAGTCTGACTAATCAACACTCAATGGATGATACACAATGATTAATTTTCTTTGCTGTTTGTTACCAATAAAATTGAACTTCCCATTAGACATTCGTAGTTTGTTTCTGTTTTATTTTTAACCAAATTGAAAATCGAAATGAAAATGTCCGAAAAAAACTTTATCTATTAGTTCACAATTAGAGAGAGAATCAAATAGCTGCTAATATTAAATAGTTAAACAATCTGAAGAGCAATCCTTCTGTCTTTCCAGTTGATTTTTACGTCTATAATTTTTTCAAGAAAAGAATAATTGTTCAAATTTCAGACAACTGTTTACATGAACATCAAGATGAGAATACAATAATTTAAAGCTTGTAACACACTGTCAGATGATTTAATACTTGAGCGACGAAGTTTTTGCTGTGAGAATGTTCACTGCTGGTGAGGAGAGGACAAAATAGATTCCTTCAATACGTTATTGTTTCCCATAATAAATTGACTTTGTACCACCCATGTCTGCTGTAAATATAATGGATGTGTACAACGAGCTTATTTGTCAGCTAAATCAATGGTTAGAATAATAATGTTAAAGTAAGAAAAACGGAATGCGAAAAAGAAATAACAACAAGGCAAACAAAAACTAGAGTGTCAGTAACAAACAACTGGTTGGTGTAGTCTCATTGAAGGTGAAATATAGATCTTGCATATTTTTTATGACCTAACAGACAATTTGAACAAAAGAAAACCAGTTTCAACTGCGGTTGGCCACATTGATATTTTTCCGTGTGGACTAAATTTTAGATCAATTTCAAGAATTATTGAATTATATTGGAGATCTATATGTGAAATTTATGTGCAAATTTCTAAAAATGTTTAATAGTCATTTAGCCGATATACAAATGTAATTTCGAATGCGAATGAAAACTTTGGATATTCTTTTTATTCTTTGAAATTCGACCACTACTATTAAAAAACAGAAGCAGTGTCGGTGTAGGGTGTGTGAGTGCGATATGGGTGTGCGAGAAGAATATAGTTTCATCCACATCCACACAAGCTCCCACGCACACCTATCCTACACCCGCATCTACACCCACACCAATTCCATATCCATACCCACACCCACACCTACTTCCACGCACCTCACCCACACCCACA